TTCCACCGGGTTCCCCTAAAGTGTCCCATATTTCTTTATGAGGGGAAGTTGGCTTCGTGATTTGGACTTTCTCCAATTCCAGCCTCAGGCCTTCAGTGACCTGTGTCAATTCTTGGTTTTGATTTTCCTGGTCTTCAGTAGCCTGGATTTCTTTTGCAACAGCTAAAGGTGCTGCTTCAATCGAAGTCTCTGGTTGCTTCTGGACATCTTCAGTGACCTCCTTATCGACTTCGACTATCACCCAACTTTCGTTTTCAGTACCTTTCTCTCCTATTGGGGCATCAATTTGGTCAGCTTCCACCATGTTAATCTCTCCAATGCATGCAGGCTCGGAGTAGTTGGTGTCTACGACGTCCAAGGGATCTTCGTCCACTTTCATCTTTGCTTTATCAGCAAACTTCAGTCTGCCATCTTTGATTGCATTCTGAATTAGGTCCCTGAAAAGAAAACACTGTGAGGTTTTGTGGCCTAGGAAACTATGATATTTGCAAAATCCTCTCTTCTTTCTTTGATCTAAAGGAGGTATTTTGACATTTGATGGCACAATGAGTTGGCCATCTTTGACAAGTAAATCAAAAATCTCGTCACATTTAGTGACATCGAAGGTATAAACCTTCTTTGGGAATTTGTCACTTTTCTAATTTTCAACAATCTCTTTTCCTTTTGTGGGAACCAATAATTTGTAGGAGTAGGGTGGTGCCTGTTTTAATTCAGCGAGGTCGATTTCGACCTCTTCGAATTCGAATTCAGGATAATCTTCTGCTTCCTCAGTTCCAACATAGGAGATCCTTTCCTTCTTATTATTTTTAAAGACTCTGGCCTTTTCGTCCTTTAGCCTTTCGACCTGTCGAACCCTGTAGGCTAACTGAGCCATGTCCCTTAAATATTAAGTGTCTAGTTTCTTTCGAATAGAGTAATCCAAGCCACCAGCGGCCATTTCGACTAACTCATGTTCAGGCACCACTGTGTAACATCTGGATTTCAAAAGCCTAAATCTATTCAGATAATCATCTATGGGTTCAGTGAACTTTCTCTTGACACTGGCTAATTCCTTCAAGCTTATTTTTGACTGTCCCATGTAAAACTGTTCATGGAATAATCTCTCCAAAAGAGCCCAAGTATCAATGAACCCAGGAGGCTAAGTGGTGAACCATGTGAAGGCGTTTTTAGTCAGGGAACTTGGGAAGTATTTGATCCTGAGGTCTTCATTATTGGCTATATCTCCCGCTTCGGTTAGATATCTGGCTATATGTTCGACTGTTGACTCATTGGTATCCCCAACGAACTTTGTAAATTTAGGGACTTTATATCCCCGTGGTAAATCAGTATGCATTATGCAATCTAATATAGGAGAAGCATAATTTGGCCTTCTAATTCCTGTGTTGAGGCCATTCTGGGCCATGACTCTCTCTATCATGGTGGTTAAATTGTTTTCTGCCAAGATGTTATCGTTTCGAATTCTATGAACGACATCATCAGCATCTTGATTTCGACCCACCATGACAACCCCCCTAGGTTGTTCTTCTCGAAACTCTGGGACTTCCAGCCTTTCGACCCTTGCCCCTGGTTCCATAATTTCTCTTTGTGGGCCTGGGATCATTGGGGCTTCTAGCCTTTGTGCCCTTGCCCCCAAGTTAACTTCTTCTCTAGGTGGTCTATAGGTTGGGCCGTTAGCAACTTGTTCCACAATAGGTATGTTTGCTCGAACTCCCGCCTGATTCTGCCTACGCCTATCTGGGGGAGCAAAGAAATCTGTTATTCGACTCATGTTAACTGTGTTTTCTCTATTTGTCACAGTCACATTTTGTACTATTGGGGCAAATATTTCCTGCATAGTTTATGCTAATACCCCTATCATATTATGGTTACTGTCATCCATCAATTGCCTAAAAGCCAACTGGTTTTCTGTGGTTAAAATAGGTATTATGCTATAACCCACTGACCCTTGGTTATTTGTCATAAACTGATTCGCCCCAGACCCAGACCCTAATTGTGGTGATGAATTCGATGTGGAATTGTGTAAACCTGTCATAAAAGATGTTGGCATTCCATAAGAGGAATTTCTGGTTCTATTACCATCGAAACCGGGTGGTCTAGTTAGTGGAGTGGCGAAATGGGTTTGTGTCCCTGATGGTGGAACAAATCCCCCAGGATAACCAATGGTTCCAGTATTTCCTAAGATCGAACTATTAGTTGATATGCCATTTACTCCATTAGTGGCTATATTACTGGTAGAAGATGCAACAGACTGTGCATTCGAAGGGATCACGTTAGATGTTCCCATTGAAGCAGATACATTAGTGCCTGTTGTATGTGGGGCATTTTGTTCCCCTTGTTGATTGTCAGAATTAGACATCTTGTTCAAACGTTTTCTTCTAGATAAGGGTTGGTTGCTGTTGGTTATTTTACCACTTCTCAGGTTCATAAAACAACAAACTTCTTAGATTCCAACGTTTTTATAATGGTTACGTCTCAACAATCTTTATTTCTGTTCTAAATTCCGTAATGTCCAACGATGGGTCCCACCGGGTGTGCCAATTTGTTTACAGTGATTTCTGGTAAACAACCGCTAGTCCTCCAAACTATCGAATAAACTTACTGACTGTTATTCAATTTCTCTGGTAACTCGCAGGATCGACTAGATTGATCCTAGGACGTGTTGGTCATTAGGGTAACTCTCATGATCGAACTGGTATTCATGGTTGGTATTTAGAATGTTGTGTAGGTGTTTAACTTATTTCGATTTCTCTCTTAAAGATCTAAAGGTGCGATCAAATAAACGTGCACGAAACTAAATTGCATGAATAAAGGTCAATTGTAAAGACATGTAAAAACTGCATAAAAGACAAATAAATGGCTTCGAATCGTAAAGAAAACAGTTAATGTAAAAGATTCGAAATATGAAGAAAGCGTTTAATGCAAGAAAACTGTAAAATGGCTTTAAGTAAAAAAGGTATTCAAAGGATAAAAATTTGAAGATAAAGGCATGAAATGTATAACAGTTTCTGAAATGTAAAGTATTTGAAATGGAAGGAAAGCATTTAAATGTAAGGCATCAGTGAAAAGATTTCGAATAAAAAGACTTTAGATGCAAAAACTTGTAAATGGTATTGATATAAAGATAAAGGAAAGTACTGGAATTGATAAAGAGTTTTCATTAAATCATAAACATGTGGTGTTATCATACGTACATTGCTCTTGCATTCGTTTCCCTAGCCATGTGGTAATTTGAATGTTTACTGAGTTTTCTTGTACAATAGATATGACACACGAAATCCTAATGCTAAGACTTCTATTTATACTACTTCGACCATAACGGTCTTGCTATAAGATTCTGCCACGTTCAGAACATGCAGAGCAATGCCTCTCTCTTGCTTCCACGCGTCTTCGAATGCTCCAGCGCATAAATTTCAAATTTCGAACATCCCGCTTGCATTTGATTTTCAAATGTTTTGGCATTTCTTCGCTTCGAACGCATTCCTTAGATACAACCTTGTTATCATTTAGAGACTTCTTTGGATATATTCTCATAACTGTCACTCGAAGCTCCAAGCTTTGATATGCTCATTCGAAGCATTGCTTCTACTATTTCGAAACATGACGTTTTGTTTCATTTCAATCGAAACGTCCAATTTACTTTGCTTCTAATAATATTATCAAAATCTTCAGCCAACAGTTGGAAACAAAAGATGAAGTTCTTAACGTTGAAAAAAGTTGTTAACGTTCTGATCGATGACATTCTGTTGCTCCTTCTGGATCAATCGAACAAACTAACGGTAGTAAATATGAAGATTTAGAAGGAACACTTAATAGTCTTGAAGTTGAATCTGCTGCACAGATTAAAGCGAACGATTTACAACATAGGAAAGAAATCACCTTATAGAAAAAGAATGAAAATCTTTACAAAATCATATTTTGAATAGACTCGCAAATGATCTGTATGATAATTACAGTTGATGTGATACTGCAAAACAAGATTGAGAGACTCAGAAAAAGAAGTATGACGTAGAAGCTGAAGCAAAGAAGTATGTTGTTAGCCGCTACTTCAAGTATCAAATGCAAAGATATAAGGTCGATGGAGGCTCAATGTTACGAACTTCAAAAGATTGCTTAAAAGATCATCACAAAAGGTATGTGTTTAAATGAACAATTTTAATTGGTTTTACTATTGACAAACTACTTCATAGTTTGAATGTTTTAAAAAAAACTTTGCTTCGCCACAAAACAAAAGAATTTTTGATTGAGAATCCGATTATTCGCCTTGAGTTAAAAAAAAGAAATCTTAGAGACAATATCAAAAAGAAAAAGTTTTAGTTGTTTCAAACAACAAAAAGAAATTCGGTGTAGTTCTGAAGCCATTTGGCAAATGATTAAAGAATAAGAACCACAATATTGTGAACCGAATTAAGAATGAGAACCCTTTTATAATCCCAATAGCTCCAACTAGGCAACAACCACCACCTAAAAGAAATGATGTTGGTTTCCCTTTGTTTTAACTATGGAAAATCAATTCATATGACTAAGAAATGTAGAAGTAAGCTTGAACTTGGTGTTATCCCTAATACACAGGTCAACTTGACTAATGGGCAATTTATTGCTATAGTCATTGAAATCAACATGGTTGATGGATATGTTGGTTGGTGGATAGACACATGCGTTTCTCGTTGTATCTGTTATGATCGTGTTATGTTTAAAACATACACGAATACTAAAGATAAGAAAGTGTTGTTGGGAAATGGCCAGACCACGAATGTGAAGTTGTGAGGGATGCTTTTCCACATCTCCAAAAGCTTTCTATAGTGCGATGTTTAAATCTTCAAGACAAATTGCCTAATAAACTTGCTTGCTTAGTGGATTTAGAAATTATTGATTGCAAACAACTTGTGGCTTCCGTTCCATTCTCTCCTTTCATTCATGAATTATGTCTCACTAATTGCAGAAAGTTACAATTTGATTATTATTCCTCTACTCTAAATTTTTTTGATATTCGTCGATGTTGCATGGGAGGATCCTCCACGGAATGGATTGGACATATCTTATCTCATTGTGATTCCTCAATTAAAACCGTGAAAATTGAAGATTGTCTAACTATGAACATTCCCCTACACGGTTGCTTCAGTTTCCTTGTAAAATTGGGCAACACTAGTAGTTGTGACTCTTTAAGGACCTTCCCGCTGGATCAGATTGTCCACAGTTAGAGTCGTTCTTCGATGAACGCTTGCCTTCAAGCCTAAGGAACCTCTTTCTTGTGAAATGCTCTAAACTTCTCATCTACTCGCTGAAATGGCCTTTGCCAATCAACAGTTCGATGTGTGACATGTATATTCAAGAAGTTGATATGAAGTCATTTCCTAGTGAAGGATTGCTTCCCCTCTCTCTTACTCGTCTTACTATCACTTGTTGTCAAAACCTCAAACAACTTAACTACGAGGGTATCAACCACCTCCCCTCTCTTACAACATTGATTTTTAATAACTGTCCCAACATCCAATACTTACCAGTGGATAGTCTTCCTAAATCCATTACATCTCTACAAATTCGGGGAAATTGTCTTTTGCTCAAACAACGATGCAAGAAACCAAATGGCAAAGATTGAGAGAAGATTTCACGGATCGAATGTGTAGTGATTGATAATTAGCTCAGGTACCAACTCTGGCAAATATATAATTTGGAGTTATTTACATGTTTTCTTTTGGTATATCTCATATCAAGTGTTGCAATCTTCATGTTTTCTTTTGGTTACATATAATTTGTAGTAATAATAAAAATATTACGCGGGATCTTTCATGAATTCCAATCTTCATTACACTATAACTTAATATTGCGCTTAATAATAGCTTTCTCTGATGCTTGTTGGGTTTCTCAAACTTTGCTTGGCCAATGTTAACAAGCTTCTAGCTTGCAATTACTATAAGATGATTATGTTGATGCTTAGTTAGGGTCTTAGGAATATATAGAGGATAAATATAATGTAACACCATAACGGTGTTGATGGTTAGCTAGACATTATTATTCTTGGAATTCAGTAAGACTCTCAATTTTGACCATTCTACTTCTTCGAACAAAAATATATCTTATTCAGTTTTCATTGTTAAAAGCTTAAAATTGTAATAATCAGATTCAATAATTTTGGTTAATTTCTCGCAAACATTGGTAAAGGTCAAGATTCTCCACCGTCTTCGTTCAAAATCGCAACGTCGCATTGGGCAATGGCCAGGATTTGAAACAATTATGAAATGGGAGACTCCAAACTTTATAACAACAACATTAAAGTGGCCAAGTATTGAAAAATCCATGTATTGAAGAACATATGATTTGATTTATCCATATGTTACTTTTGAATTTTTATTTTATGGAAAATTTAAATTTTAAGCCTATATTGTCTTGATTATGCAGTCAAAGCAAGAACGACATAGTTTGAATTTGTATTTGGGTTAAATCATTATGGATTTTATTTGGGATGCTCACAAAGCTCAACGACATAGTTTTGATTTGTATTTGGGTTAAATCATTATGGATTTTATTTTGGGACGTTCACAAAGCTTTGTGAACGACATATTTTTGGTTTGTATTTAAGTTAAATCATTATGGATTTGAGACGCTCACAAAACTCAGAATGAATAAACCCAATACTGAAGCAAGGAAGCACTTTCAAGAAAGAAATGTTCCTCAATCCTCACCTAGAGCAGACGATTTCGTCTCTAAAGCACTCTCAATCGTCCAGATCAATCAGACATTCAACTAAGGTTCATGACCCACTCTTCGTTTTTCAATTTAAACCGCCTCCACTATATAAGAAAGTGTTTAATTCTCATGTATTCAAATTCATTTTCACTCTCACATCACTTTTCATTCTCTTACTAACTTGGACGTTGGAGTGTTAACATTAGAGACCGACTCCTTCTTCCATTATACCAAAAGCCTACTCTACCTCGCCAGAGTCATTGTTCTCCGTTCACCGAACAATTATGGTTGTACACCAAAATAGTGACACCATATATGGGAATCAAAATTTTATTCCCACGATTTAGATCTCCTCTGATCAAAAAATTCAAATCTCTTCTCTTAAAAGATTCAAATATATGTTTCTTGATCTTCAACCTTGAAGCTTCGTGTTCTTGTTCGACATCCAACTTATCCATCCTAAATTCATCAACAAAGATGGCATCCAAAGCTATTCGATCCGTCGTTCAACTGCAAATTAGGATGCAACTGCTGAATCTATTAAAGTTCCACCTATTCCTCCTCAAGAGGACAATCCAGTTTTAGTATGATCTCCTTCCAATCCTTCACAACATCATCTCGGTCTACGAGAGTTGGACAAGGGACCTTCTAAGCTCACTCATTCTTCATATCTACGCAACAATTCCGTCAAGGCAAACCATCACACCGGCCTTCACTACCACCTGTGGCACTTAGACAAGAAAGACTCTATGGCCTTCAATTGTTATAAGCCAACCTTGGGACACATAGAGCTGGTGACTTGTTGAATATTGTTTATAATATGGTGCAACAACAAAATTTAGAGTTTGTGGCAGAGAGGATCAACATGATCGAAGAGAGCCTGCAACACATAACGCCTAAAAGCAATTTTGTTCGAGATACAGACTCTCAGGACCATTAAGTCGTCATTCAATTTGCCTCAGTTAGAAAAGCAACACCACGAGGAAAGACCGAGTAATTTACTTCACGCGTCCATCGCCTAAGGCATAAGACTCCTATATTCATGAAAGGATGAATGATAACCACACTCCCACATAAGTTCATAGTCCTTAAAGGATAGAGGGGCATGATACACGTAAGTTTCAGAGCGGAAAAAGAGCCCTCTCAAGCCTAAGGATAACAAAAATTATTGATCCCATGAGAATTACATTAAACATAATGATTTTTATGCAAAAGTTTTTAATTATGCAAGAACTCAATTTTTGATGTCTACAACGTAAAAATGTGCAGTTATTCAGTATGAAATTTATGTATAAGTGTTACAATATCATCAATACACTGCATATAGAAGCTTGTTATGTTTATCCATATGTCCTTGGCCCTTTCTACATAACCATTTCAATTTTAAAACCCATTTATTAAACAATATTTCAACCTAATAAAGTATTATTATCTACTCCTAAAATGATCATCCAAAGCAATACATATATAGAAATAAATCACAAGAACTAAATATACCACAATAACACATTCATTTCATTCAAAAAATTATTATTTCATTAGAATTTACATTATACAACCACGGAAATTTAACTCATGTTCAATAAAGTAAATACAACAGGATGAGAAATTAAGTTTTATATATATATATATATATATATATATATATATATATATATATATATATTCAAAATAAGAGAATAGAAATGATACATCTAAGAATGACACTTCGCCGCTAATCTATCAACATATTTGACTTCAGGTAATGTGTCCTCAAATATTGTGTTACTTCATAATTGAGGAGGGCAAAAGATGAAATTGAGAACTATGGTTCTTTCTTCATCCATGCTCCGGAACTGTCTCTAATCCAGTGCCACCATTCAAGTCACAACCTCGTTTAGCATCTTATGGTTTAAAGCATGCTGAAATTGGCATTGTTTAGCTGTTGCGACAATGCTCTTCATAATTGTTATAATCACACACACTAAAAACAAAGTAAAACTAAAAGAAAGAGCATTTAGTATGCTCACTACTAAACATTAAAACTTACTTTAAAACATATAAGTAACTCTAAACATTTAATATGTAAGAGAAATCAAACTATTTTGGAGTTAACTAACATAAATGTAGTTATCAACAATATTCTTGTTTATAGTCCTATTTGGTCTGCCTATTTACTCCATTTAGAAAATATTTTGCATTTACTTCTTCAAAACAAATTTTATGCTAAACTATCTAATGTAATTTTGGAGTTACCTTTCTGAATTATCTAGGAATATTATTACTATGAAGGTAATACATGTTGATCCAATGAAAGTGAAAGGCATTTTTCCGTGGCTTATTCCAAAATCATTCCCATAACAAAGTTTTTTTCTTGGATTGACAAGCTTCTACCAAGAATTTGTGCAACATTATGCAACTAAGGTTTACAGCAGAAAAAACATTTAATCAATTAAAAAAAGCTACTAATCCACTTTTTTTTAGCATTACTTGATTTTTCTATGCCTTTGAGGTTACCATTGATGCATTCAGTGTCGCAATAGGATTGTGATTTCTCAATAGGGATATCTGACTTCTTGGTTCACTAGGAAAATGTGCCATAAGTTAAGTTCATCTTCTGGGTGGTCATTGCAGAATTTAGGCGACATTATTTTGCTTATCTATTAGTTTTCTACTGACCTAGTATGCATTTTGATGTAAAAACTTGTATCCATAGTTTCTCTACATGTCAATATGAAAAGTACAACACTCAAGCGCCTTATGGACTTTTACGGCCACTTTCAAATTTCGTAACAAGTTTGGGAAGATATCTTCATGGACTTTATCGCCAACTTACCTCTATCTTCGAATTCCATTGCAGCATCAAGAATCACGCTACTTCTATCATTGGCCGCCAAACAATATCAGAGCAAATTGAACCTGAAGAGGAATTTCTTGTTTATTAGGAGGGATTAAATGCAGCTGAAGCTATCTGAGTTACCTAAAAATTGTAGGGTAATTAATTGCAAGTGAGTTTTCAAACAAATAAAGATGTTGATCGCAATATTGAAAGGTTTAAGACTAGAGTAGCGACAAAAGGTTTTACACAGAAATAATGTATTCACTATAATGAAACGTTTTCACTTGTATAGACAAGAAATTCTTCTAGGTTATTATGGCGCTTGTGATCTATATCTATATACTCTATTAAATCTAATACATATTATCAATTATAGCAAGATATCATCAATTATAACTATAACATATTATCAAATATAATTTTAAGTTTGTCATATCAACTTATAGTTCTATGTGACACATTTCAAAACTTATTGTTATCATATACTTTTATAAATTAGTCATTATAGCAAGACATCATCAATTATAACTATAACATATTATCAAATATAACTTTAAGTTTGTCATATCAACTTATAGTTCTATGTGACACATTTCAAAACTTATTGTTATCATATACTTTTATAAATTAGAGATGTGAAAATTCAAGTACAATAAAATATTTTTTATTTTTTTAAAACTATAACAATAAAAGTAACACTTGAAATAACATTTTTAATCTTAGAAAAATTCTTTCAAAGTTACAAGTATAAGTCACTCTAAACTTATTTTAAATATTATATATGCAAAAAAAAAAAATTAAAATGCCTATATACTTTACTACTATAATGTTTATATAATATCAAATAATAAACTAATGACAAATAACAAAATAATACGCAAAAGAGATAAGAGAATTTAAACACAATAAAATATTATTATATTATTTTGAATAAAATGATCTAACAAGCCAATCATTACTCTAACTATATATTCACTTATATTAAAGAGATATCCAAATCCAAACACAATAAAATATTTTTTATTTTTCAAAAATTATAAAAATAAAAATTATACGTGAAATAATTTTTTTTTTAATTTTAAAGTAATTCTTAC